GTGGTGGTGGTGGGGGGGGGGGAGAGTGCGCTCGACAGAGAGTGCGAGAGAGAGAGACACAGAGGGGGAGGCTGGTTCCTGATACCAAGACACGGAAAAGCAGGGGAGGGAGAGAGAGAGAAGAGACTGACGGAGAAGGGAGAGGGGGGAGAAAACAGGGGAATTACACTCAGAGGCACAAAACGCTCGGAGAGGGAGAATAAAAATATTGAACTGCCTCGGTCCCTGACACACCAAATTGGACCCCAAACCATCGACATTGCGTTTACCCAGACCCATGGGTTAACAGGTAAGTCTGCCCGGGCATTTAGTGAATGTCTTTCAGCCTTACTTTCGTTTTCTTTTGCCTTTGCCTCCCCAGCTCTGGCCGTAGCTGCGATTTCCGTGCACGCTTGTCCCCTGTCCTTTTAATTCATTTACTTGTAGCGCCGTGCGCGCATCTGACGGTGTCACACGGCACAACTCCGACGCATCCGTGTCACAAGTTAAAAAAGAGGCATCGTGAGTTTTCCGAAGAGCCGCTACCCTGCGGGATCGGGGTGGGTGGGGAGCGTGTTTGACAGCTGATAAACGGAAAGGCATCGGTGACATGCCGGAGAAAGTGGCCGCTTATGTCGGGTAAATAAGCGACGGGAGGCCGTGCGGTCTTGCCCACGTTTCGCGTTGTTGACATCGGAGGATGCTGTCAGGGACAAAAGCGCGATGGTCGTACATTTTCGGGCGGCCAGGGGGCTCTCGGCCGTCGGCGAGCCACCGTGGACGGGGATTTTATTTTTCTGCGCCCAGGAAACCGGGAACTGTGGTTGAACTGGAAGGATCTCGTGTTTTACCCGAGTTTTCCCATTCGTGTCCCCAGACACACATATACGCCTGGTTGTCGGAGCATTTCACAAGTTTCGGCCCCGCTTCTTCCGATTGTGGAGATCGTCGATCTCGGCTGTCAGCTGTCGCAATTAACGTGTCCTGACAACCCCGGTCCGGGGTCTTTAAATTAAAAGCCCGGGAGGGGGCTTAACCCCCTCACCCCTTCGTTTCCCCTCGTTTAACCTCCAAAAAGGGGAATTTCTCCAGCTGGAAATTTCTGCTGCGTCAACACCCTACCCCAGTGTACCAGATGAGCGGAGGGGATTTTTATGCTTCGTTTTCTTGGTCTTGTGTGATTTGTGTCCTTATTATTTGCCCCCCTCCCCAGTCGCTGTAGCTCCCAGCCCCCCCCTTCCCACAACAGCTCCTCCTGCGAGTTGCAAAGTGTTGCGCGGCCGGGGACGCTTTAGCTTTAAAGCCGCTGTAAAACGCCGAGTGCCCGGTGGCGCGGTTTCTAGGTTATCGTGCGTCCGTGTCTGCCCCCCTCAAACCGGCCAGTTCCATCTTCCTCCATTTTCTGCTGCCCCCGCCCGGAGGGATGGGAAAAAGGGGAAACGGACCTGCTTGTTTCGCGCTCAGGTGCGACAAAGCGGCGGCGAAAATGACTCACGGACGGGCGCCCGGGTCCGACCACCGAGGTGCGGGGAAGTTGTGCGAACACTTGCCAAGAATAGACTCCGCCAAAGCGTGTGTTTGTATTTGCTTCACTAAAGTATTGCAAATGTGTACTAACATCGCGTTGGTTGTGCCAATATCGTGGTTAGTATTTATGTATCGATGTGAGAAGCAGCAGGCTAGAGGAGGGAATAAAATTGAGTTGTAAAAAAATCCAATAACGCGTTACTTTATTTCCCCTATTATATTGCCCGCTATATTAAAATGGTAATTCAGCCCCTCGTTTCACTTATTGGTAACGTTTCTATTATGACAAGGCAAATTTTATCGCAGCTCTAAAAATGTATCATCAGTGCAATTTATATATGTATGTCAGTTTATTCTCTGGTCCGTGTGATAGGATCAGAAGTTCTCAATTACTGCTCCTCCTGCGTTATGGTTGGACACTAAGGGGATTATTGCCTTTGAATTGGGTCGTACAGAAATGCGTGTGAATCTCAGAGCGCACTTTACCACTTTTAAAAATTACGTTTTCCAATACAGTTTTAAAAAATTTAATATTCACCTATTTTACCGGGAAATAGGCGCTGAAAACATTTTTTCTGCACTTAAGAGTGTTAAAATGTCTTTAAGTATGCTTTAAAATGTAGATAAAATGTGCAGGTAGGTATTTTATATAACCGGACGCTTCTTAGGCGTGTAAAAAAAAACAGGTTCATTTTGGTTATTGTGGGATCTGCAGTGCCAAAACCACACGCGAATCCGGGTAAATTATCTGATTATCGACGCCGAGTAAAAACCCCCCACCGGTTCGCAGTGACCCCTCGCCGGGGGGTATCTGTGTGCCTGTGGGTGTGAGGCTCCTAAATACGTGACTTACGTAGTGATCCTCTTTCGGCAGCTTCTTAAAGCTACAGTCAAATAAGTATCTTGTCCGCTCAGATCTCGGGTCCAGCACACACAACAGGTTTCTGCTGTAACACATCGCCGTGCCCTAACGTATACAAACATTTTCAGGCACCATACCCTCCGCTTACTCAAATGGGTGTTGTAAACATGTTTGTCAAATCGCGCTAAACTTTAAGGAGTTTGCGGTTTTTTTCCTCCCCCCGCTGTTTGTCAAGCCACACTAAACAAGGATGGCTGGACTCTTGATATGAGTAACGGACAGCATACGTTAGCAACAGTGTCTTACGTTTTTGTGCCGCGTAATAACTCTCAATTAGCCGTTAAAGGGGATTTTTAATTCTGATAATTCTCTCTTGCTGTAGGAAGAGCATCCAAAGTTAGTTTATGGAGGCGATTTATAAAGATATTCCTCTATTTCGGCTCTTGATTACTGTGTAGGTCACTGTTGTTTAAGTTATGCTGGGGACAAACCATACAGGTAAGTGATACAGGGCTATGTGATTTAGCGTGCTGATGTTTGGGGTTGGGATGGGGCCGTAGCTGTTATATGTGTCGCTGCAGAAGCCATTGGATGTTATTTGCGTGTACAATACACATATATCTTGTGAGTAGTGATAGCAGCCAGGGCTGTTGTGCTGGAAGGTCAGGCTAAGTTAAGGTAAGGCCCTGAGCCCGAACCTCGGCGCAGTTTGGGAGTTGGGTTGTTAGGTGAAGGTTCCCCGTTCGCTGGGGCAACTTCCTCACAGGTGTGGCCCTGTTGTGTCAACATGGGGCAGGTGTCACGTCAACGCCGGTGGGGACAGAGAGACAGATCGTGGAGAAGTGAAGAGCTGGTTATAAAGCCAGGCGTACGTGTGCGTGATTCCTGGCCGGACTGGTCAAGGAGTCTTGTCCGTTCCGAGGGCGGGCCGCGGCTTTCAGTCGGCAAACTCACACAGCTCGGGGAGTTTGGTGGGAGGAGAAGGAGGAGGTGGCGAAGGAGGAAGAGAGAGGTGATGGAGGTGGTGGGTGGGGATGGGGGGGGGGGGGTGCTGACACGACGCAGCCTCGCTCCCGGCGCTTGTGGGTGGAGTCTCAGCACCCGTGGCTCTGCTGTGTGGTAACAGGTTGAGGGACTTAGTGAGGGGGACGTCGAGCCCAGCACAGCATCCTGCACTCGTGAGCCGCATCAAGAAGGGCTACGGGAAGCTAGCAGGGCTGGGCGTGTGTCGGTCCCTGCGTGCGGCTGTGAGCGCGTGGCCCTGGTGACTGTATCCTGTTTCAGATATGTGGTCGCATGTGGTAAGACAGAGTATGTATGCGGCATCGTGTGTGTGTGTGTGTGTCTGTGTGTGTGTGTGCTTTATTTTGGAGCACTCATTGTTGCATCGCTGTGTGTCCATCCCCTACATTGTACGTATGTCTTTGTGTGCATGTGTGTCTATTTTAGCCTTTGTTGTTACACTGCTCTACGTTCAATCTCTCCATGTGTGTGTGTGTGTGTGATTTATTTTGAAGCCCTCGCTGTTAAGCCGTTTCGTGTGCCCATTCTGGCCGCTGCCGTTGTTGTATGTGTGTGTGCGTGGGCGTACATGCACTTGGACTCTATGTCCGCTTGTGTTTTTTCATTCCTTTCGTGCGCCGTTCCGTCCGAGCGTGCGGCAAAGCCGTCTCCGCGGTTTTGTTTTTTGTTTTGTCCCTTTGATTTGTTTTGACTTTATAAGTGTACAGTGCTCACCAAAGTTTATATTTGTCTGCGTATTCCCCCTTCAAGTTTGTTTTCATTTTTTAACTCTATCTGTCAGTTTTTAGGAGTACATATTCCCCTAAGAGTAAATTAATTAAGCTGGACACCTGTTAGGCTAATTTACTACAAAGAGGCAATTTATAAAGCAAACTTTTTACACAATATACAATTTTTTTGTACATGTATATTTAATTTCCTAGCTGATGCTTTTATCCAAAAGAATTAACAATATATATAGCTAAAGATTTCACCAGAGCGGGACTTGAACCTGCAACCTCCTGGCCCACTTCTCTAATCACCCATGTCCTACCTTAACATGTTAATATTTGCAGCCCTTATACATGCTCTGAAAGTGGTTTGGCGTAAACTGCTGTGTTAAGCCCATAATTATTCCTCATTAGGGCGGAGCCAGTGACCTATAGTAGCTGTTGTCTCGGCCTGTACAGGTGTGCGTATTTCCCCAGGGGGTGATCGACAGCTGCACTCTTGAGTCCCTGTGCATATTCAGTTCTGGGTCGCCTGATCTGTGCGCCCACAAAACCAACCCAATAAGCGCAGTCACATTGTCAGGTGCCACGTAAATATTTCATTTATGTCTCGAGGCTATAGGAGTCAGCAGGGCCTTGAATGAAAGCCTTGGAAATGAGATCCGGGACGTTGGATTTGGAGATGTCTCGACGTTTAGAGAGAGGACATCTTTCCCCTGCGCCGTGGAGGTGGTACTGGCCCGAGTCCCAGAACCCCGACCCGTGGAGTATGATACAGTACCATGTTTGGGTCGTCTCCAGCTAAGGGTTCTTCCTGAACCCGAAAATGTAAATGAGTCGCCATTTGGCAATACCTCCCCCTCGCATTCTTGGTGAGCTTTGCCAAATTGTCCTTTCGCGCCAGCGTCAGCATCAGAGTCGAGGCGCGTACTCGCGTCAAAATTATTTTCTTAAACCGTGACAGACATGAAAGGCAGCCCCCGCTTTTCGTCTGTCTTGTTTGTGAGGAGGCTGACCGATAGTCCTGAATGATGAGGGATTCAGGAATAAAACACAGGCAAAATAATTGGCCTGTGCAAAAAAATAATAAATAATCAGGTTATGCGCAGAAGGCGGTAGGTTATGAGTGGTCTGCACACCTGTAATTAACTAAAATAACTCAAAATAACTAAAATTCAAACAGACAGA